AGGGTACCCCTCCCTCTTCCTGAGACAATGCTAGCCCAGTGCTCCTCTTTCTATGCTTCCTCCTTCTCATTGGCTGTTCTCCTGTTCTTCACATATATCAGTAGGCTACCTCAGGCTGCTGTCACCTCTGTCAAGTCTGTCACATATACTCAGGTCCTAGACCGTTTCTGTTGTTGTAAGATGACTTTAGCTGTCTTTGATTGGATCATTTATATATTGATTCCATGGTACAATTCTATGAAGGCAACTTTATTTCCCTTCACTTTCAAGTTCCTAGTAGACAGCTCACTATACCTCCTATTAACACAGTGGTGCCAAGGACCAGGGCTGGAAGGACATTGGAAATAATTCTCCAGATTATGAATGAGGCTGCAGAATGTTTTCTTCCTCATCACCCACCCACCCACCAACTTCAGCTGGGTTTTTTGGAGTTCTAGCTCCTGATGGCTATAGCCTGGTTTCTTCTGAAGACCTAGTCATCTACTTGATGGGCTTTTTCTCAAGCCATCTGTCACAACAGGGGCAATATTTCCTCTCAGTTTGAGGCATACCATATCTGTGTCCCTTCTGATTTCCTCCATGAAAAGCTGCTGACTTTGCTTTGATTCTCAGAAGGAGTTATGGCTTTTAGCACTGCATCAATCTGCTTCAGAAGATTAGGATGTTTATTTTTGAGATCGCCATCACATTGCCTAACTGGGCCCCCTTTAGCCATTTACTTGGTGGGAGAGTTAGTAAAATAGAAAGAAGTAGGAGAAAGAGAAGAAAACAATTATATAATTCTGCTAAGTTCTCATCCTCTTAATCGCAGCAGAATTCCTTCAAAACAAACATTAAAATAAATATAGGAGTGGGGAGGGCCAGTGGAGGAGGAACTAACTGAAAGAGCGTTTACACTGAACACCTGCTCATTCTTTTAGCACAGGAAGCCCTTTGGCGTATTCAACATGTGTGTGTGTCTCCGATTGAAGTACCATTTCTCTTCTAGAAGAAGCACTAGTATTAAACTCATGTGCCATGTACTACAGAACCTTCTGGTGAAGTTCCTGCATACCTGGGCTTTATTTCCTCTGTGCAAGTTGAGCAGTGTCTCAGCAGACAAGAACTAGGAATTACCTCTTCCAATGTTGAATAGAAAAGTGTTGACTTGGACAGGCCTCTTGCTTCTGTTCCTGCCTTCAGTTTCCTCTTTTGCAAAGTGGAGGGCTTGATGAGATTATTGCTTAACTCCCTTTCTGCTCTTCATTTTTAAATGACTCTTTCTGAATTAGTTTATCTGGTATCCTGCTTCCTTTCTGTCTACCTATATCATCTCTTTATCTTTCATGAGTATTTTTGAGGTTGTTTCAGAGAAGGATTTCACCTAAGAAGCTTAAATTTCAGGATTCCTCCCTAGGATCCTTCTAAACTTAAAAAAAAAATTAATGTCATATTTAATTTTATATTTTAAAGTTAATATTCTTTTTCTTAAAGAGAGCTCCCAGATTTGGATATGCTTTAGACCCTACAACATCTGTATTTGCCTCCAGGGTGGCTTAGGGAAAAAGACAAATACAAATAAGAATATCCAAATAGGAGTTTAAAAAAGAAGATATGAGAGAAATAATAGAAGGTAAATAAGCCAAATAGGAAGTGAGTTTACCCAGTTGCGCTCCAGGTTGCGTTTTTTAGTCTCTTGACTTCCTGGAAGGCAAAGTTGTGAGGGGCATCTGTACATTGTATAACTGTGGTTATTGGAGTGGAGGAAATGTTCAGAGGGAACAAACATATCCACTCATACTGAACTCTGAGAAATGTTTCAGTGAAACATTTTATATGGGACAAGATCATACCATGGCCAAAAGTATTTTCACTAGGATAGAAAATTCTTGGTTACCAGTGATAAAGTTTTGCTCAGATACACTCGGGCAGCTCTTCTGTATCAGGCATTGTCCCAGGAAGATACTAGAAATACAGAAAAGAACGAGACATGGTGATTGCCCCTCAGACCTCTCAGGCAAACACAAACAATTATAAATGTAAGTTGGTAAGTTTCTCAGGGAGGCCTACCCAAGGAGGTGTGCGATCACAGGGAGTGACTAATTCACATCCAGGAGATGAAGAGGAAGGGAAGAGATAACCTCCAAGCTCAGTTTTAAAGGTAAAAATATTGTTTACATAATGCTTGTCACTTCACAGGGAATGTTAACAAAAACAAACCTGCCAACGTGTATCTAGAGTTTCCCTGAGCCTAATCTGACTTTCATTACTGTGGTTTATAGGCGCTGTCTCTGTTGCCAGATGGAATTAGATTCCATCTGACAACAGAGACAGATGCATGTTGTCAGAGGGATGCATCCATACATTCATTGATGCATCCCTCCAAGAACCCCAAAGAAACCCACCTTTCATGAAATGAATTGTAGCCTTCTTGTCTTATTCCTTAGGAATCTGGCAGACATCTCATGGCTTGTTTGTAGCCTTTTTAAGGCATGCAGTGGGCTTATTAAATTCTTTAGTTGTCTATAGGGAACAAAAAGCAAGATGTTTGACCATTTGGGGAAAAAAGTAACATTTGAAAATATACTAATGGGCATCCCTTGGTGTTCAGTTATTTGCTTCTTCAAAAACCTTTATCCCAATGAAAAGTTTAAAAATCATTTCCAAGCAATTCCCATTTTGCAGCAATGGCTAGAAAGGAACTCACCTAGCAACACCTCGAAAAGTTGTGAGCCACAAAATGAGGAAGAAGATGAATTTCCAGCATCCAAAATGTTAGGGAATAGAAAACATCTTCATGACGAAAATAAGATCTCATAATGGCCTCGCCTCGAGAGGCTTGTCGAGCTGCAGTGAACCCTGCTCCCCGCGCTGGCATCCCCAAAGGAAGGAAACATTTCGGCATCTTCCTTGAGCATTCTGCGGCAGCAAGTACCGCATCAGACAGTCTTGCAGGCCGGCTCGCCATTGCATCTGGCCAAGCAGCCTGGATCTTCACCTTGCATTATGCATGGCCCTCTAACTCCGGTTAAGTTTGAAAACGCCCGGAAAGTCTCTTCCTGCCACCCTAACTCCCATTCTCTTTGACGGACCACAAAAGGCAGGCGGATCCAATGCAGCAGGATTTGCAATCACGGGGAACTTTGGAGCTTCTGCAGTTGATACTAAAATTGTGATGCTGCCATCATACCTCACTCAACAGGGGATTTAGAAAGAAAAAAAAAAAAAAGAAAGATTCAGTACCAAGTCACTGTCAGGCTATATCAAAGACAGTCTGCTGAAGTGTGGGGTCAGGAATTCAGCAGCCCTTTGAGGAGATTGCATTCAGCTTGAAATTCGGCTCAGAGAACAAGAGTTAAAACAGATTTCCAGTGTGGGTGGGAGAGTGATCAGTAATTAAGCTGAATGACCCTAAACTCTGTGCATTTAAAATCAAGAGATTTTGAATGTACTTTATAGCTAATGATAAAATTTTATTCCTCTCAAGTTTGTTTGTTTGTTTGTTTGTTTTTTCACATCATGGTAATCTTTAATTCCTCCTTCTCCCCTCCCTATGAAGAAATAAGAAAAGATCTTTTAGGTTTAAAGACTACACGGCTCGAAATTTCTGAGTGAGGTACAGTGATTTAACCCATTATGTTAAATGTTAAATGTTAAAACAAGCAGAGGGCAGTTGTTCAAAGATAAACACAAAAATAGAAGCTTAATGATTCCTACGTTTACCACCTGTTAGGACTACACTCCAGTGATGTGGAGAAAAGGCTGCACAGCTCATTAACAGCTATCACTTATTGGCTACGTACCATGTGTCAGACATTTTTATGGATTATTTCATTCAGTCCTCACAGCAGCCCTGTGCAGTTGATATTATTAACCCCTTTCTGGTGGTGAGGAAACAGGCCTAGAGAGGCTGGGAACTTGCCTGAAATCACCTAGCTGATCCGTTGCCAAGCAATACTCTCACTCGCTTCTGCCTGAGTCCCATCCTCTGCTCCCATCTGCACCACGACCCAAATTTAGTGGAGGAGATGTAAAATCTCCAAGTCTCCCTCAGCCATATCTATCATAGTGTTGCTTGGTTGGTGGGCCGACAGTATCAATAAAAGTACTCCATAGCAAGGACAGGTAGAGTACACACTGCCCGCCAAGTACCACTTTGAGTACTTTACGTATATCTATTTGTGTATCCTTGCAACAACCCTAAGAGGTAGAAAACCAAGAATAAGCAGCTTGCCCAAGGTCACGCGGTCAGTGAGGGTAAGAGCAAAGCTTCAAACCCAGACAGCCTGCTTCCCTGGCCCCTGCTCTCGGCCGGGAGTTTTCCGGGGACAGACTAAATTCCTATCCACGTTTGTACCAAGCCCACTGCATTCTGAAATGGTCCCACCACCTTCACACAACCTGTAAGTTGAAGTAGAACCTGGGATAATGGCTGAAGTCCATGATCAATATGAACAACCTAATGTCTCCTTAAACTATTCTTCTCAATTACGTTTCTATTACAGAGCTTAATCCACATATCTGACATGTCAAAGAGGACTAAAAATGATGGTTCTGTGAAATGAATCAAATAAAAGGCCAAATGACTTTCAGCAGCTAACATATGCATCTCATAACACATCTAAAGAGATCTGGTGCCTACGTGGGTATATGTGTACAGGTCCACATGGTGTATATTTGGCACTCTGTGCCCAGAACATAAGTCTAGCTTAAAATCTGTTTTGAACCACGTACAAATGTTCATTAACCTTACAGGCAGGCACAAAATGTTTGATGTCATGAAGCTTGTCTTGAACCAGCTGTTGAAGTTGAGCATTAATTTTCCAACCTTGCCAAGTTCAGGAGTTCTAGAACGAAAGCAAAATGGTTTGGATGGATGAATAGATATCTTGCTTTTTCGTGTGTATTTCCTGATGATCTGAATGCTATTAGGTGTTAAGTTTCTGAGATGTTTATATTAAGTTAACGATGACATGTATTAATAGCTAACAATTTTTCTTTATTGTTTTTTCTCTCTCCAGGTATCCCCAGTATTTCCAGTATCGGTAGTAAGTAAAAAAAAAAGTCACCAAACCAAGTCTAGGCTAGCTTTGTTTTCTTGTTGAGCTCCTAAGGTCTATTTTCCCAGTGTCCATTTCTGATGTAAGAGGGTATTTTCTTTGTGAATTGAACCGTTGTGTGTGTTCTCTGCACAGATAGGGTGAGAGCACAGATAAAATAATTATCAGTGCATAACTTCTCTGTGGATATCACAGATATCACAGTACCATGGCTTTCCTGACCGCTTTTGACCAATGAAGGCTACCTTCACACAGGTGCAATTACTTAGGTAACCATAGCTCATTTAGCAAAAATATAAACAGTCCTATTACCCATGCTTAGTAACCAACAACAAATTGAACTTTCTCCTTAGGACTGGATGTGGATTTCTCCCATAATTTTTAAAAGCAGAGAATGAATACCAATGAACACTTTAGGCATATTCATTAGAACCCAATGAAAACGCCATGAAACCAAGGGGAGGGAATTTTAGTAATTTATTACACTCCAATCTTTGTGAAGGCCTGAAAGAGGTTGGTGATCATTAGTCTTTCTGGGGGAATGAAGAGGAAAAAAAATCAGTATGTCCATTTCTCCCTCTGAAAATACAGTGATCCATCTTCTCCTGACTACTTAGGTTGAAGTGTGATAGAGAATTGGGTACAAAAAATATATGCAGAATTTAGGAATCCAGCTAGTAGAAATTCCTGTGAGAAATCTCTTAGTAGAAATAGAAGCAGTTGAAAGAGAAATCCCTCTTCAAGCTTCTACGAAACATTTCTCTAGTACCATTGCATAGAGCATTCTCCCGGCTATCGTGGGAGAACCAGGCTATAGCTCCTTATTCACATGTAAAACAATGACACCCCAACACCAAGCCTGAAATGCTCATTAAGGAAATGCCCCACAGCTTCGCAGAGCAGGACCTTACGTGTTCTTACATTTCATACCCGTTCTCTCTGATGCCTAAATCCTTTGCACGACTGCTGAATAACCCATTAAAAACAGAGTGCTGGGGAGACAGAGATTAGGTACTGCACGTGAAGACAAGAGTTTTCACTGTGGTCTCACCCGTCACGGACTTCGTCATGGGTGCTGGGCCACCCAGGGTGATGGCAGTATGAACAGCCGTTGTTGAATACCCAACATCCATCTTCAGCACAATACTCTGATAATTTGGATAAAACAGCTTCCTACTTCTGATAAATGCATGGTCAGGTCTTCCAATCTGCAAATCGAGCCAGTTTACTTAAGCTTGGAAATAGACCTGGACGCAGATTTGTTAAGCACTAGACACGTGAAATACCATGAAAATCAGCGGCTTTGTAAATAGAGGTAGTGTTCCCCTCATTTCAGATACTAGTCTAATTCTGCAGCCTGGACTATAGTATCTTGCTGAAATGGCATCAGTGCTGCAGACTCGCAGGGGAAGCCTTCAGCTCTCATAGTCTCTGTGATCTGCTTTAGTATCTCCCCTGGGATTTGTCTAATTGTGTGAGTATATATATATATATATATATATATATATGTCATGTATACATACACACAGGCTTCCCACAGGGGGCTCCTTTCAGGCCTTGACAATTTCATTTACATATGCCTCTTAGAACAAAAGGGTACCAAGGGGAAGCCAGCTGAGACGGATTATTGAGGCTGCCCCGGCGGGGTGACCTGTCAAATTTTCAGAAATGGATGCATGGAAAGTAGTTCTTTGGCGCTGGGGTGTTTCTGTTCTGCGTGTCGGTCGTGTGTCGCATGGGATCACCGACTGTATTGCTCACTCAACATCTCATCTGGCCGTCTCCACCACGTGCCCCATCTCTGAGCATCAGCAGATGTTGACCTTTTACACACTGAGTCAGGAAATTCCAGTTTCGTTTTGCTTTGTTTTATTTCAAAATCAGTGGTGACCTGAAAGGATGTTTTGTGGTGCCTTTGGAAAATGTATCTACCTTTTTGATCAGGAGCCTAGGAAAATTTAATTCCTTAATACTGAAACAAAACCTGCTAGCAAACAAAATGATAGTTTGTAACCTGCCTTCCTTATGCCTCTGGCTGCTCTGCTTGGAGTGCAGTGGGGGTTCCCTCAGATTTCTCCAGCAAACAGGGTGTCAAAGGTGCCAGGAGTCACCCAACATCACACACAACTAGCTTGCCGATCGCTGGCTTTAAAGTCAAGAGATTGATTATAAAAGCCATCAAACAGGATAGGATCTTCTGGGCTGCTTCTGTGGCATTCGCACCTTCCTTCTTTGTGGGCTCATAAGGCGCTCATTGGGTGCACTAGTGGATTCCTTTCCTCTGCAAAGGGCAAGAATTCACACAGAGATGACTTGCTGCCTACTCTAGAGGGCACAGGAATGGGTTTCCAAGGTATATGCCAGAGAAGAATGAGTTGCTTGAATTTTTAACTAAGTTTGGGTGGTTGCCAGGGCTTTTCCCTTTATCCCAGAGAAGGAATCAACCAGCATAATTCCAACCAGTATATAGACAATGCCATTATAACAGATGTAATATCCGTGAGACTCACATCATCAAAGCATATCTCAAGGAAAGTGAATGATACATACCATTGATGTAAATTATTGATGTATGTAACCATAAGTTCACATACATATATTATCTACACAATGACTAAAGATTTTGGAGCCGTGATAGGTTTCAGTATAGATCTCAAACTGTCAACACCAGTATTAAGGTTCAAATGCATGGACAGAGTGGCCATCCTTTCCGATCATCTGCTAAAAATATTTTTTGAAACAAATTTCCCATTAAGGTCATGTGTACCTGCTGTTGTCTATTTTTTTAGGAAATAGGTTTCCCAACCATTTCTGAGTTCCTTGATTTAAAACTTGGTCATTTCGATGTGCTTTGGCCATGGCTGAAAAAATCCTGGTGGTATTGTCAGCAATTAATGAATCCCAAAATAGATCTACAGTCATTTGAGCCTCGTGATCTCTGTTTTTACTTTACCTAATGTGGCAGTAATTCATTCAGGTTTCATTTTTTTATGTATACAAAATGTAACTTATGCTTAGAAGTAAACATTCACAATTTTATCCAAGTGAACATTTGTTGATGCTGATGATACTGATTAATCGTTGGTTTGGTGTGGATGTTTTTGCTAGAGTGATAAACTAATCATTACCTTCTAGCATATATTATCTGCTCCTTAGTTCTGAAAAGCAAGTGATTTTGCTAATTATGTTAAACAGTATAAAGACCATAATTAGAATAAGAACTGGCCTAATGTGCAAATAGCTTTGTGTGGGTGATTATCACTTAAGAAAGGAGATGACAGATGAGTCAGAGATTAAAGGTAGGGCAGCCATTGACATGAAAGATCACCTCAGGAAACACCATTTCAAACAACTTGGCATTTTTTAATAAATAAAAATATGTCCCAGGATAGCCACAAAAGAGAAATGTAAACATTCTGGGGAACCAAGGATACATTATTTGTTTAAATTACTTTTGAGTGATTGAGCTCATGGCATATAAAGCATAGAATATTGATGGAGGAGTTTGACTGTCCCCTCCTCTCTACCTCTTCCAATTAGAAATAATGGTTTACTTCAGGGAAATATTCCATTTTCCTGTTTTCTCTTATAATGAGCATTGCCTTCATCCTGGAGTTAAAACTTCATCTCTAATTTGATTTAATTGACAAGACTGTTAAACAAGGGAAGTGCTACCCGCAGGGATCCATCAGCCTGGAGAGAAAACCCAGAGATGTTTTCTTACTTGAAAATATTTGATGCCAGTTGGAGACCTTGTAAAAGTTGCTTTCCAGACAGCATCCAAATATTTTTGCTCGGTACCCGTTTACTGTAGAAACCTGGATCGTGAGGAAAATAACAAGGTTAATCATTTCCCTACCCAGGGGTAATTAATAATCATGTTCATGCTATCCAGAGACCTGCAGTGCTTGTTTGTTTTCTTCCCTTTGCTTTAATACTTCTAAATCCCCCAAATAAAAGTTTCATTTGAATTGCCCTTTAACTAATTAGGTTTTATATAATGAGGAAGAAAATGTACAGGGTAGTGTAGCTATATGGCAAATTGCATGGTGTGCTACGTTAATTTTGAACTGTTTGCTGATGTTCCGGAAGGAAAGCTCAGGTCCCAGGTGAAGCGCCTTTGGGACTTTGTTATATCGTGTGCCCAGTATCCTCATCACAGATCCATTTCATATTTGTGTAACTAGCATTTCACATTCATGAAAACTTTGTGGTTATCCTAAAACTGAATGAACATTAGGACATAGCTGCTGCTTTAATCCTGAAGAATACATCAAATATTACAATGAAGGAGGGGCAAGTATCCTTTACCTAAAAAAAAGAAAAAAGAAAAGGAGCAGTTTAATAATGCTATCGACCATTGCCCACCTTGAGCAATTTGATGTTTTTCATGCATTAACCTCTTCCCAGGTGAAGTTAGAATGTCAAGCCACTTTTTAAGTGTGAGCTGCTATCTGTATCTTTGCTGTTATCTCTGTGTGGGGCATCAGGACATTCCTAGCTTGACCAAAGATTTGCCAAGATCTCTGAAAGGGCCCCCGATGAACCTTCGAACATGTAGCCGTGAACTTCTGCACCAATGGTGTAGGTATCGTTGAAATCTTCTTGGAGTATAAATAAGTAGGTGGCCAACTAACTGCTTCACTTCCCGGGAAGGGTGAGACCGAGCTTTCACCCAGAACTGGAGGGAGATGTTCCCATATGTCCACAGAATTCCATTTTACAAATGGCGAGTGAGTCCGAGGCTCAGAGTGGCCAAGTAACTTGACCAGTATAATAGGACGAGGAAGGCCTGTCTGACTCCAAAAGTTATGCTCATAACCTTATACCACATGGAAGAGGTTAGAAAGAAAAATTCTAGATTTATTTATTCTTGCCACAGACTCCTTCCAATCCACCACACAGCACCTTACACCTGTTGATTCTTGAACTGAACTATTTTTTGTGCAGGGAAATTTAGTGTCGTGGAGAAAAACAGAGATACATTT